TTAAGGTTCTCAGCCTGTACCCAAGTGCTAACATGAGATGATTTGGGCCTTACCCCTCTGCCTCTTGCGCACAGTGCCATCCTCCTCCTCAGGCCAGCAGTTGCAATCATGGGTTAAAGTGAAATCCAGGGAAACTGGTCCAGGGGGAAGGAAAACAGTTGCTCAGTCCCCGGTCCGGTTGTAAAACACCTGGAAAGAGGGGCAGGGGGTGCTCCTGGCCTCCTGAATCATCCCTCACAACTTGAAAATGCTTCCCACAGTGCCGAGCAGTAGGGAGCAAGTCCTGTTTAATCAGCCACTGGGTAGGGACCAAGAATTTGGCTCTCAGAATGGAAAATGTGCAATTTTTTTTCACTGACAGTGCATAAAAAAGACTGTTGTATAAGAATTGCCGGACAAATTTTCCATACATGATAGCTGCAGACTATTGTTTTTTTTTTTTTTTTAATCTGGGGAAAACTAATTATGGGTAATCTGAGGATGTAATTACCAGACCATGTCCTCAGACACGGCACCAGCACAAGGCTCGTGCCCAACATTCGAGCTGGACTGAAGAACTGTCTAGCTAAAAGAATTGAAACATTTTTTCTTCCATTTTTTTTCCCCCAGAATGATCCCATTCCTAGTTCGGTTCATCACGAAACCAATGCTGAGTAGCTTTATGTAATACCATACATCATAATACATTTTTAAAAGGGAAAAACTCCATTATTCTGGGCATATATATTAATTATGAAAGTTGTTAAAACGCAAGTTCCAAGTTATGCAAGTTATTAAAATAGGCATTTGTAGCAATTTTGCTCCAGTTCATCACTAACCACTTGTACCAGAAATAGTGACGTGCTACGTTCCTTGAAATGAATACTGAAATCCATCTTCTTGCTATAGTAGGGTACAGAGCAACAAGACTATTCCTTTTAGTTATCCCTCTACCCTGCTGTTACAAAACCCATAAATGGCAGAATTTCCATAGCTCCCTGGGAGGCTCATCTCAGTGTTGTGCTGCCTTTATAGTTAGGAAGCTTTCTGTAACATCTCATTGTAAAATCCCTAGTTGCTTATTGGGTATCCTCTTCTTGTCCTGCTCTCAACGGTTATGCAGAAAACGCGATCGCTAACTGTTTTTTTCCCTCAAAAAAAATCACCTGGTGTTTTAGGCTATAGAAGGCAGTCGGCATTTATTTATGAATATGTTTTGTTCTGCAGGTTGAAATGCTTGTAACTGAAAGAGATAAATTTTATCTTCAGCATGAAATAATGGGGAAGAGGGAGCTAGGGGTAAGCAGAAGAAATATATCATTCCTGTTTCTTTCCTGTATAAACTTTTAAATGCTGTTTTCCGTTCTTCTTTCTGCCAATTCCAGCTGCTCAGAGCATGCATATGGAGATAGGGTCAACAAAAGTTTTAGTACTAACTAAAAGTAAAAGCAATACATCCATGGATCTGAGCACTTTCTCCTCCTTGTGATAGATTATGTTTTGCTTTTATCAGCCTTTTTTTCCCTCAAAAAAGAAAAAAAAAAAAGGTATCCTGCTGTTCAGCTCAGCTGCAAGGAAAGTGATTGCTTAGACAGGAGAGTGTTTGTGCAGTCTCCGTGTGTGAATCTGCCCTGAGCAACGATGGGAAATTGCACTTTTTGCAGGGACCCTTTCTCTGCCTGGTCCTGCTCAGTGCATGGAGCCCATGGGTGACCTAGGGGTGCATAGCAAATGGGACACGATTCTCCCTATGCCCTCACATACAGAGACCAGGCGACCTGGGCTGCAAAAGGATGAAGACGATGGTAGATCAGAAGTACAGTAGGTGATGCAAAAACGTGGATGATTGAGGCTTACTGCATCCAAAGCAAAAATTACGCTGCTGGCAGGCAGGAACGTTCCGAGTCAGAAGAGTTTCCTCTTGGAAACCAATTCTGAGTATAAGGCCCTTGGGTCCCTCACTAGCAGCAACTTCTCACATCTCACACAGCTTCACGAGCGTCGCTGCTGCCACCTCCGTGTACACAGAGCTTTTGTTCTGCCCTGGCAGACGGTGACTTGGCTTCAGCCGCTCGCACTGTGATGACATCTTGGCCAGGCTACAGCAGTACAAGCCTGGCTATAGCGCTCTGGATGAACGTCTGTGTCATAAATGCCACGTGTTTGCTGATCCCTGTCCTTCGCTATGAATATTGTATAAATACAAAATTTATTAAGTTCAAGATTTCTGTCCTTATGTTTACAGGACCTAGTAACCTAGGTCCCAGGATATCTGAAAGATCAGCTAAAGCCTTTGAATAAAAATCACATCCAGCAGTTTCAGTTCTCTAGTGAAGTGGGGTATCTTGCAGTCAGATAAAGCTCCTCTGTGTGGAAGGTCACGTTTCTTGCAGTGCTCAACCAAAACTGAAACAACCTCGCACAAGAGACATTTTGCACATCAAGACATTTTGCTTTCAGCATTAAATGTATTTCTTTGAATTCTTCTTCTTTATGAACACAGGATATTCCCTCACTAGGGAATGCCAAGGCAGTGAATAGCTCTGAGCTTTGTAGAAACTGGAAGTTCAGCCCCTAAAGGGAAGCAAGTTCTTTGCTTTACTTGGCACTTCTAGCAAACTCAAAAATGAGCTGATAAATTAAGAGCCTTGTCCAATTACCAACAGCTGGAATGATTTCTCTGCTTCTGAGGAAATGAAAAAGGCTGTTTGTTGTTTTGCAAAGTGTCCAGAAATTGCCAGTCCTTGGCAGCTGAAGGGGAAGTGCCAGACAGTAAAGCAATATCTACATTCGTTTTGTGTTTTCCTTGTCTCTAGCCATGCAGAGTTATGGGAGGAGGGAAGAAATTAGTAATATTAGAGCACATCAAAAAATTAATAGCACATTATAATTAGGTAAATTCCATACCTCAGCCACGCACACATCCTGCAGTGGCGATGCCAGGGGGACCGCAGGGGCTTCGCTCCTCACTCCCAGGCCATCTGCAGCAGTAAATCCTGCAAACTTGCTCACCCTCTGTGATTTACGATTTAACCATTATGGGGATAATTAAACTGATGATGACATTTCAAGTCTCGGTCGTGAGTTACTGCATTCTTCAAATGCGCTGGTGCTGCTGCCTCTTCCCACAAAACACGGCTGCCATCTCCTGGCCAGCCCTGCAGGCCCCGGGCCGGCTGGAAACGCGCGGCACCGAGCACAGCAGCCTGAAATTAACCTTGGTTTTGGGATGTCACGTTCCACCCATCACACAGGAGCGTAGCTTTCAAGGCATGCAAAAGTCCTCTCTCTTGCTTCATTAGGATTTGCATCAGCTTTTCCTTTTATCCTCAAACCCACAAATATCTGGAGGGTTTCGTTTCATCCAAGTCTAAAAAAGACTTTGAGGCAAACAATCATTATTCAACTGGCTTTACATTTAAATTTACATTTAAATTTTCAGTGGCCTTTATAGGAAACCGAGATGGGAATGACAGTTCTCCTGACCCTATATTAACCACCAAATTTGCAGAGGAACTTGTAGCTGGGCAGAGTTCACAGGCAGTGTCAGGTTCCAATGCAAATAGTTGACGTGGCTCTAATCAAAAGCAAGGCTAGAGCTTGATACCACCCGAGGAAACTTCAAGGAATTTTCTAAGTAAGAATAAAAACATTTTTAGAAGGCAAGCGTTAAGTTTTGACTGCAATTCTTTGCTCTTCATGGTCTTCAAAACAAGGCCGCGTCTCTTGCTGCAGAATGTAATTTATTGTAGGTGCAGGGACGACTGCTGGCAATTTCCACAGAGCTTCAGAGTGGATGTGCCTGATGACTCCCTTTGGGTTTAAAGACTATGATTAACCCACATGAGCAGACTGGCAATTTTTTTTCAGGATAGAGACATTTTGTAGGAAAAATTAAATCATATGAAAAGAAAACCTTCACAAAAACATACTGCACTAATAGATTTGAGAGAAAATGAAAAAAGTTTGTGGCAATCTGTTCCAAAGAACACAATGATTTAGATTTCTTTTTAATTTAGTAATATTTTTGGATTTAGTATATAATATAGGCTATAATATATGTAATGCATGCATATAACACACATGTGTATATTATACACATATATATTATACATATATATCAATGAAAATATTGAATCTTAAAAACTTGAATTGCTCAGAATTTTTATATTTTCAGTGCCTTGATTTTAAAATATCAAATGAGTTCATAAAATAGAAATTCTGCCCTCCACATCACTTGCAGTTCAGGGGGATAGTGGGGGAACTGGAACACAACCACGTAAATTCAGCTGTGTGAGTTTCAGCACCCTCCAAAACTTCAGGAATTCCAGGATGCCCTTTGCTACATCAGGGGCACAGCCTGTGCTGTTCACCCCGCTGGAGTCAAAGGAAGGGTTGGGAAGTGTGAGGATTCCCAGGATAGTAAATGGGAAGGTGCCTTTCCGGGCATTTCCAGACAAGGGTTCCACCTGTCTGACGGTAAGTGTCTAAAGCAGTGGGTGTCTCTGTGGACCAGAAGTTCCACAGGAACTTAAGGAAAAAAATCTTGGCAGTGAGGGTGACAGAGCCCTGGAACAGGCTGCCCAGAGAGGTTGTGGAGTCTCCTTCTGTGGAGATCTTCCAAACCTGCCCGGATCCTGCCCTTTGCCATGTGTTCGTTCTAGGTGTCCCTGCTGGAGCAGGGGGTTGGACTAGATGATCTCCAGAGGCCCCTTCCAGCCTTAATGACTCTATGATTCTGTGACTATTCAGGAAGCCGAGATAATGGATTTAGAGCTGGCTTTTCCCTGGCAGATAACTGGGGTGAATCCTGCCCAGGCTGTACGCAGACACCGAGAACAGGTTCAGTGAGCACTTTTGGTGCCAGCAGTGGCACGTCGCCAGTCACATTTGCAGGCTGGCTTCACCCCTCCCACACAACTAGATGCATTACCTCATTTTTTTTTCCCAAGCCTTAAGCCTATGCTGTGAAGATCAGGATAACCTCTGCACTGAGATGCATCTTAGTCTAAAATTGCAACCCAGTACATCTAGCTTTAGCTTGTAGGTCAGGAGCCATCCTAAATTAGATACCCAGGCTCCATCTGTAGTAGGTAGAGCCTGACAAGCAGCTCCAACTGAAAATTCATCCTCCTTGTCACTGATGCAATCTTCAGATGGGAGAAATTGGTTTTTGGACTCTCTTTCTGCTGACTGCAGGTGATGTCTCCAGTTTGGTGTAATCTTAATCTGACTTTATCCATCGAAAAATTGTTACATTACAGAGCAGTTCACACTTCCAATCAGTTTTTATGAGTTTGGTATTAGCTAAGTGATGTTAACCAGCTACAAGTTGCCTAACTGGTGACCAGCAGCACACTGCTGGCCTGTGGATGGTTTCCAGTTACCAGGACTAACTAGCTGTAGTAACCCACGGATTAGCCAAAACCAGGCTAATACTGTAATAATAACCAAATACATATCTAGTGCCACAGCCGTAAACACAAAGCATGGCTGAGGTTAGAGACATGGTGGCAGTGTTTGTGCGCCCGCATCCTCCACAAAAATAGATATTCCTCTCTCTAAACCAGGCAACATCATTTCTGATTTTTTTGCCTGATTTTGAAAGATGCACCTGCCCCGAGGGTCAGCCTTTTACAGCTGCCCACCTATTTTAGGAAAGACATTTCACTGTAAACAAATGAGAGAAGTAATAGCAAGGAGCATCTACAGAACAGCAACAACATTAAAATCTAGGAAAAAAAATACTGAATATCAATTTCTAGGATGATTTTCTAGCATCTGCTCTGAGATACCTTGATGATATTTTACTCCTGTACCATTCTAGAGTTACTTGTGCTGGATATGTGATGTGAGGTAAAGCAGGCTCTCCTACCACAGCTGGGAGGGATACATGAATGTGTTAGGAAAGGGCAGGATACCCAGAGGGCAGCACTTAGCCCAGGCTGCCCCTGGCAGATGCACTCAGAAAAGCCTCCATTGAGTGACTCTAATGAACTGCCAATGAGGCTGACTAGTGCTTGCCTATCTGGTATGTAATGGAATTTATATGATCCCCTTACATACCTTTATATGTTCAGGCTCTTCAGCACATTTGCTGCTCTTTGCTATATTCCAGGTAATTTCTGCTGAGTTTTGGCTCCTTCCTGGGCTCTGCTCATCTCTGGTGTCAATATTCATCCCTACGCAGCCAGGACCCTGCCGGGGTACCAGCTTTGTGCTGGAGCTGTCGCCAGCAGCAGAAATGTAGTGGCACCACCCTACCTAAAGCGTCACGCAAGGCGTAGGTCACTGCATCCAAAACCTACCCTCTTGTGGCCTGAAAAAGAAAAAAAAAACATACTTGGCAGTAACAAACATAAATATGAACTACATTTATTCATTCTTTTTGCTTGCTTAGGAAAGCCTTTAAATCAGGTCTACAAAATGTAGTTAGTAGTTCTGGAAAAGGAGAAAAACACTGCAGCAGAAGCCACACTAAAGAGAGGGAGTTATCAAAAAATCACTTCAGACAAACGTGAAAGTTATTATCATTTTGTCAACATTTTTAATATGGGTAAATTGCTTTCCATACTCAACATCTTTATAAAAACGCTGTCTAAATGCTTGGCATTTAGCTGTAGAGACGGAATAAAAATTAAACTGATAATACAATAGCTAAATCTTATGCACATTAATTCACATACACAAAGTCTCACGAAATCAAAAAAGTTCCTGTCTCAGGAACAAGCGTCTTCAGCTTTTATCTTTCTCTTAAGAAGAGGCACATATATAAACTGAGAGAGGAGAAACAAATTTTGGGAAAAGTTAATGGATTGTTACCTTCGTTGCAAACTAAAACTTTTTTTTTCATATGCACATTTTGACCTGAGCTCTTCTAAGCATCCAACTATCTTACAAAACTTATTTTCTTTGGATCAGGCTAAATTTGTGTATTGTGTCTCAAGGAAAAGATGTGTTTATGGATATATTTAAAGTTTTGCAGGATCTCAGCTAGACACAGAAAGAGCTCCCTAAAACCTTCTCTGCATTTTTGTCCTCTTTGCTTAAAAATACAGTTTTGGCAAAACCATGAGATTTTGCAACACCTGAGGTAAGTGTTGGCTTTAATCCAGTGAAGTTGTTGTCTTGAAGGGCTCCTGAGCAAAAGCAAGAGGAGGAATTTTAGGAACTCAGAGGTTGTTTTGCCAGGGAGTGGTTGTTGATGTACCCAGCACATACAGACACAGACCCCAAACACTGCTTCAGTGGACAGGTATAAAAAATATGCATTTCTACCAGGCCATAGGATAATAAGGATTATTTCATCGTGTTAATAAACTATCCGTAGCTCAAAGAAGTTCATCAGAGGCTGCAATTGATAATTTGTATTTATGCAGTTCCTTTTATTCCCCAAATCTAAAATGTAGAATTTTTAATAGGTTTTGAAAAGGTAATTTTTGAAATGTTTACTATAGTATACATAAATATATATGTTTTGAATATAATATACACACAGGCAATAGTTCTGCCTATAGAACAAAATTGAATCTGAATTCTTATTAAAGCTTTCAGTAGTGCAAAGTGCAAAATTCCACACACCCAGTAGGTGTCATCTTCATATATATCATATGTAGGTATGATACCAAGCTTAGAACATTTTTATTTAACTAACTGCAGGAGTCTTAAAAACTGGAAGACATTTTCAGAAGAGCATGGGTAAAAAAGGTATGAATTTGATCTGATACTCTTTACTAACACCAAGATCTCTGAGCTACTTGCAACCCAGAAATGTTTATGCACAAAATAATTTACTCATACCCAGGACTGTACTTATGTGTCTACATGACATGTGTAAATATGCCTGTAAATGCACATGTTTAAACCTGAAAATCTATTAATGGAGTCAATTTAATTCACATGTCCTTAAAGCAGTGTAAATATGTACTGCAACTTTGCCCATGCTTCTGAAGCCTGCATTGCAGAAAGAGATGTGAGATCCTCTTTACTCATAGGGATTTTAAATGAAGCTGGAAGTGCCTCAGGAGAGCATGTAATTCCACTTCCACAGATGGTGTTTTATGCTGCTGAGTTTTGAAATTACATCTCATAGAGGTGAGTATTTTCCTATGGATTATCCTGAATTATCAAGTACACATCACAGATCTGCTTGATTTACATTGCTTTTCATTGCAAATCAAATACTTTCATTAATATTTTGCATCTTTCTACTGAGCTGAGGCATAAATTTATTTAAGAAAGGTTGAATCACTTCGATTCAGCCGTCTTCAAATACAAATAGGATAAAGAAATACACACTCTGCTTTTAAATCCCCTAAACTGCAAGTGTTATTTGGCATGGCGTAGTTACTAGGTCAGAGTTATACCTTTTAGCATGTGATTAAAAAATGTACTTTGCCCATGCAGATGGATTTTGAAATACTATCCTTTAGCAATCTGGTTTTGTTAGCACGGAGCATTGCTTAGGAAAGTTCACATGCAACACGTTTGGGCCTGAGCCAAAACCCTCTGAAAATGATAGAAGGACTTCTGAGGGCCACGGACCAGCCAGGCATGTGGAGCGATGTCATTGAGCGATGACAGGTGAAGCTGACGGCAGATATTGCAGCAAATCATAGCGTGGCAGTGGCCCAAAAGCAAACAAGCCTCTTCCAACTGCGGCCTGAAAAACTGCTGTTAATTCACACAAGTAATGGGGGTGAAAATGCCACCGTTTCACATGGGCTAATATTGATTACACATTTGTATCGATATTAATCTATTTTAAGTCTGTTTTTCATCAAGCCATCTTGAAGCTTCCAAAAGTTAGATATTCTTTAATCTATGTCTCTGTGAAGATACATGAGGAAGGAGATGGGATTTCAAAGGAAAATGCCTTTTTTCCATACAATCTAGATATATGCTTATGCATGGAATAAGACAGGGCTTCTGCATCAAATGTGAACCGAAACAAACAAACAAACAAACAAAACCCAGGAAATTCTACATAACCAATCCCTAATTAAAAGATCTTCATATTTTTTTTTCAAGGCGAATTACTCACTTAGAAGCCAGGAAATGATTATGTTAAGGCTGCCTACACCTAAACACTGGTAAGAAGGTGAACACGCAGGCGTGGCGAACTTTTACGAAGAGAGATACTGCACGCATGGTCTGAGAGCAAATTACAGATTCCTCTTGAGAAAACAAGATCGCTGACTCGCTAAAACTGTCACGCTCCGAGGAGGGTGTTTGGAGGCAGCCTGGAACTGCAGCGGCTTCGAGACCGCCAGGGCCTTGTGCCCATCACAAAATGAATGAATGTTCTCATTTGAAAAGTTCTTTTTTTTTTTTTCTTTACGTAATGAAGCGATGTTTTGTGAACGTGAGGAATGAAGCGTGATTTCCCTTTTTATGTAACACACAGGGTATGTTTTCTTCTTGTTGTTCTAGGCATGTAGGAGGGGAAAGGTGAAGCCTCAAGAAAGCGAGCATCAGTGACAGCTTGTTTTCTACGCTCCAAGCACTCACAAAAACACGGTGTGCTCCCCCTGTTTTATGCAGGGATGCAGGACTGATTTTGTGAGGAGGCAGCACACGGCCACGCACGCCTGAAGCGCCAGGCAGGGCCTGGCTTCCCAGGGCCCTCATGGCAGACGCTGGATTCACCTACGATCCCCACACGAAGCACAGGCATTTGAACCCGGCCTTCAGGCCAGCGCACAGACACGTGCTGGGCTACACAGAGGTGCGATATATATAGAAGCGGGATATATAGAGAAGCGAGGACAGCGGCTATTTCGGGAGACGAGACAAAGCGGAGGGACAGCGGCAGCTCTGCA